CTCTGTATGTATAATACTCTTGGCCTTCCAAGAGTACGAGAATGTTTCCGATTTTAAAGAGTGAGCAACAGAGTAATTGAAAGGAGCTGTATCTTGGCAAATGCAAGACCTCAAAGGCATTTGTAGTGACCTATATGAGAAAGTGTGGTGACCACGAAGCGTATCATAATGGCTTGTCTGCCATGCTATGCTAAATGGTTCAAAGACAGGAAAGATAGGGAGGCAGAAAATATTTAGTTCTTAGGAGTCAGATACCCCTGGACTCCAATAGTCTCATTTGTTTGCTCAAGTCTCTGAAGAATCTGGAAGCAGTGGAATGGTGACATGAGCTGATGATCCAGTTTTTGGGTTAATCAAGGCAATAGGGATAGCCAGAGCCAATTAAGTAGCTAGGCATTCAGTGATGGATGAATCATTATAGGCAAGACCAAAGAGAATGCCATTGACAAAAGCAATTAAAGTCATTCAGGCACTTCCAGGCCAGGAAATCCTTCTAGGCTTCAAGGGGGAACATATAGGAATCATCAGGACCAGCCTGATGAAGTCATCTGTTCATTGTGCAGATAATGATCAACAAAAGTGCTGAACACACATGAGGACAGGCCGTATGGAATACATTCTGGTGGCTGAGATATATCTCTGTGCCTTGATTTCAATCACCTTTAAAACAATCCTTACCATAGCCCGCTTTTCCTTTCCTTCTGACCTCAATCTCCCCCTACTCCTTATATTCTTAACTCTCTAAACACACAGTTTTAATGTATGGGTGATTTTTCTTAAGGAAAATATTCTCCTTCCTAATCTCTAGTCCTGCACTTTTAATAGTCTCTGTAAATATACAAGTTTCCAAGGAACATATGAGCATGTTATAAAGTTTCTTTTTTTAAAACACAAAGGAGACTGTGTCTATGCAAAAAAAAAAAAAATATATATATATATATATATACACACACACATATATATATATATATATATACACACACACACACAGATGTTTCTACACCTCTCTGGATTCCTTATTTGTATTCACGTTGCAAAATTTAGAATTGGGGAAAATGGACATGAACTAAGAAACCATACTTGGAACTACCTGTTTCTTTAAAACCAAAGTTCCATCCAGGGACCCTGAAGTAAAGGTTGTTAATGAGTCGTCATGTCAATAAAACCAAAGAACACCGTTCTATGTCCTGCTTTATTTTCTCCCTCTCTGGTTGCTGCTATGCTGTCTCCCTTTTAGATGCATCCTACTCCTACTCCTTCCAATCATTAAAAGTGGGATTCTTCAGTCCCTGTAGTCTCGCCTCATTTTTTCTTTTTTTAGACAATCTTTCCAGCTTCATCTTGTCCCACCCTCAACCACATCTTGCCTTGTTCACAACCTCTGTGTTCTTCTGCAAACCACAAGACCATTACACCTGGTTCCTAGGCCTGGAATACTCTCCTCTAGCTTTTTGTCTGGCTAATAATTGCTCATTCTTTGGATCTTTGTTC